CCTTAAATCATTCGATGCGAGTGTTTCGAAGAAAACAAAGACATTTATATTATATATAATATATTCTCTCGAAACAACATCTTACAAATCGCATGGAAAATCTTTGACAAGCTGACTTTCTGCCGAAGTGTACCTGCTTCAATTTCTAAGCAAACATACAAGTTGCACTGAAGAGATATTTTCAAATTATCGCAATAATTTGATTTCGTATATACGATTTCAGTTTACATCAGAAAGAGTCGCAAGACAAATTTACTTGTACTGCAAACATTTTTCGCATTTTTCACAAGTACATACATTCAATTACTCCTCAATTTTCAACTGATTTACACTATATTCTACATACATACAAACAATTTAATGCACGCACGGATCCATATCAAATGTGACTGACTTAAAAAAAGTTGTGATCGTTGATGGTGTATGAACCATCCAGTCTTTCATAAAACAGCAATAAACTTAGTAGGAATATACATATAGTTACTTAGATGTTTTCTCCGATATTTCTCATCATTTTTTCAGAAATTTACACGTACTACTTTAGTCATTAATCTCCTTTTTGCTCCCGTGTGGTTTCTTTCCATTTTTTTTTTTTTTTTTTACGAACTTATGCGTTGTTTATGTATAATATTAGGAAAAGATTTATTGACAGTTCAAGAACATAGAATAAATACATATTATATACGTATATATGTATAATAACCGCACATTCAATACTTGATGAATGGCAAATCGAAGTAGACAATTAGTGCGTATGTATGTCATGCGTAAAATGAAAGCCAATGATATACTTATGTTTCATTTAAGAAAATTTTGCTTTCAACAATGAGAACTTTAATATATCGTACGATGCAATTTAAATTACTTCGGAAAATAATTAAAATTAGTGTATTCAATTTTTAATTAACATTTTTAATGTTAAAATTAAATAATCTTAAGTTAAAAATATGTGAATAATAATAAAGCATTTACATATCCATCTACTCCCTTATATTTTATAGAAATTTCATTGTTAAAACATTATTAATTGTATGTACAATTCAAATCATAAGAAAGTAAATAAGAATAAACAATTTCAATCTAAGTAATCCCATACTTTTAATTATTTTGTAAAATTACTTTAATTCTATTCACATTTATAAGTGTAATTTTCGCAACAAAAAAAAAAAAAAAAAAAAAAAAAAAAAAAAAAAAATACTAAGCAAAATAACCTTCCTCTGCATGTATAATGTAATTTAAATTCAGCCTAATTTTTCATTATATGTTTCATGATTGTATACTTTTTATACGCGAATAAAGCAAATAAGAAGCACGTACAAATTTCTTTATCATTTAGCTATTTCTTTTTCTTTTTTCTTTTTCCTTTTTACTTTTTCTTCTGTATGTAACTGAAGAAAATCTTTAAATTTTTAGCTCCTTAGTTAATCAAATAGCTAAAATCGATCGAATGCCATTACACGCTTAAATTTTAATATATTAAAATTCAGTTAATTGTAAAAATAAGTCTAATATAAAGTAATCAATTACAAAAGTTTGTGTAAAAAATTTTGAATAACCTACAAATAAGCACTGTTAATTACTTATTAACGAGATAATAATCAGTTGAAATTTTCATACTTCCACAACTTTTACTAATAAATAAAAATATAATTATTCATTGATTGGATTGTAAAATCGAATTCTTATTTATGGTTGGCATTTATAAGCGGACAAGTTTAATTATTAATACAAATAAATAGTTGCTAATAATATTAATGTTTTAATTAAAATTAACGAATTCTAAAACAACTTTTAATATATATATTAAAAAAAAAACAAAAAAAAATCATAGTGTATTTTTGAAGTTAAGAATATAGATTTAAATCAAAGAAAAAAATTCCATTAAAACATTAACTAAACGTAATATAATTTGTTTACAATTGAAAATATCAAATAAAGCATACATGAAATACAATTTTAAATCTATAAATTTTTTAATCGTAATGAAGAAATATTTATAATCGTACAGCATACGATAAAAGCTATTTTCATACATTCGTATATACATATTCAATAATTAATTATTAAACAATAAGTTTAATATTATGCTTTAATTCCGTTGAATTGTATTTTGTGTGTGAAATACAAACGTTAAACTTTTAGATAACACATCTTAGAAAAATCTTTTGCGAAATTCTTTTTTATCAAATTTCAAACATTACATTCTATATTGTATTTATAAATTTGCTGTAAAACTTTATGCTTAAAAGAATTTTTTTTTTTTTTTTTTTTTTTGAAATAAAAGTAAAAGTAAAACTTTCGTTTTTTCATATTGTTACGTTAATTGTTAAGGATATTGATTACGAATTTAGAATTAAAGTTGATAAAGGGTCTAGGCGTAGGTACAATCACAGTGATAAATCATGATATAGAACAACTAAAATATTTGTATTAATATTTGTACTGTCAGACTAAATAAACTAAGAAAAACGTAGTTTACTAATAATCTTAATATGCAAACATGATTTCAAATGAAATTGAATTTTATCTTACTTTTAAAAGATCAAATATATAATAAAACTGAATACTTTTCATTCATAATGTTTAATATCTATATAAAATTACCTTAGTATTGGATTAAAGTATATTATATAAATAAACACGTAGGAACTAAATTTATAAAATAGTACTCTGTACATTTAAGAATGATAAATAAATAAGCACTTGATGATTATAATACAATTAACACTTGTCAAAGAAGCCGGCTTAACAGAATGCTTGTAACAATATATAATTATACTTCGAAATAGTATTTAGTAATTTTGAAAGATATATCAATAAATTATTATTATTATTATTATTATTATTATTATTATTATTATTATGATTTAATTATTAGAATACTATTTACACTTTCAATATGTTTATTGATAAAAATGAAATTGTTTTTTTCTATTAAAGGCATATGAGAGAAAGAAAATAATGACTTTTCAATGAAAAATATAAACTATATTTAACTAGTGAAAATAAATCTTTGATATTTACGTAACTGTTGATGGTGTTAAGATGTCTCGTTTTTCAGCAATTAACACAGCCCATTTTAGGCTAAGTATAGTTACTTGAATATATAATCTTTAATAAATATTGTTTACCGTCAATATTTTCGATCGATAGAAACTTGAAAAAATTTGAGTATTTGATAATTTTTTAAATGAAGTATTTAAAAATATATGAATATCTAAATTATATTTACTTCATATAAATGTATCCAATATTATTATTTCTTTTGGAAAAGGTAGACTAATGCGCAAAATTTACTATGAGAATACCGTCTGTCGATTAGATATGCACGATTTTTTTTTTTTTTAATGAATAATTTTGGAAGAATATTAACCCTTGACGCTCAATAACTAACCATTTAAACGAACAATGCTTACATGAACTATATTTGATAATTTTACTACGCGTTTTAAAAAAGGCTTTAATTTTAAAAATACAAATACTGAATAACTAATTTCTAAAAAGAAAAATGCAAATCCTTGTTTTTTGTAAAACAAATTTGTGTAATGCTTGTATGCTGTATTTGAACGTTTAAACAAAATTATTGGAAAAGTGATTATGACATTCGTCATAAGTTTCAATGATTATTCGACCTCTTCTAATAATTAATAAGAAGTTTTAAAAAAATTAATAGTATTATGTTTAATATTTAAATGTTTGTATAGGTAAGTTTTTAACAATTTAAAGTGTTGCAGTTCTTTTAGATATTGAACAAATTTACTCTTATATTATTTTCGATATATATCGTTCGATTTTAAATAATGTTTATTATAAAAAATATTGTTCTGAGAAGTTTTGAATTCATTTATAAAAGAAATAGTTGAAACAGGCAATTTTTAACTTTTGATACCTTCGAATATAATATTTATGGCTCTCGTATGTATTTTAATCAGCAAATTCTTTTAATAATAAAGAATCAACTATAAATCGCATTGTTTAAAAAAAACTTGTTTTTATCATAGTTGTTATATTTTTCACATCTTCAATCGCAATTTTGTTTTATAGTTTGATTTTTGATATTTAATCATTTAAAAACAAAAACAAGCAGAAAAAAAAGTAAAAAAACAAAGAAAAAAGAAAAAAGAAGAGTAAAAAAAATTGATTTTGCTTTTATCGAGAGCTAGGGGGAAAAAAAAAAAAAAAAAAAAAAAAACCTTTACGTTAAACAAGTACCATATTATTTCATTTTTCCTTTTCTATATACTTTAAGGCAACCTAAGTTATATACAAAATGAATGTACATAAATGAATTACAATTTAATATACATCGTAAATAATATTTTTTACTACATACAGTGTATATTAATAATTGAACCATCATTCAGAAGAACTGGGTAATATTGTAAAAGTTGATAGTGCAGTAATTCAAGAAAATATGTTTCAAGATTCAGTTGATATTTTCTATAATATTGTTATTGACATTTGCACATATTCTCTGCAATTATCAAGTTCGAAAATAATGAAAAGAATGAAGGCACCTTATTTGTAAATAGAAAATATATCACTGTATCTTTTTTCGCTAAATATCAATTAAGTTTTTATAACTGTATATTCTACAATGTTATCGTACAAATAATGCAAGTTTTTTTTTTGCTTTTTTTTTTTTTTTAGAGAGTAATAAACACCCTATAAACACTATACTTATGTCTAATCAAATTACTTTGTCCTTCTGAATAATAACAGAAACTTTTTAAATTATTAGAAGAAAAAACAAAAATAAAAATAATTAGGATGTAAAGCTACTAAGAAAAGTGGCGATAATAATGATAATTATAATTTAAATTAGTATAAATATGGTTACTTTGGATGATTCATTTCGTAAGGAAAGATATAGACAAAAAATTTATTGTAAAATATAAATAAAAAGTTTGTATTCTGATTAATTATAAAACTTTCTAATCATTTTTATAAAATTGGATAAAAATTGTTGAGTAATTTGCTGTATATTCTAAGCAAAATAATTTATTATCATTAAGCAACGGTTTATTAAACTAACTGTCTTTGTAAAGAACTATTGCAGAAAAATGTACAAATTACAAGTATTGAGTTTTTCATATCAAAACAATATTTCAAATATAGACATTACAATAAGAATTTAACAGTGAACAAAATTTGTACAGTCACTGTTTTGAATCTCCAAAGTACACTTGTAATGAATAAATTTATTTTTTATGGTACCATTTAGAGTTTAATATCCAATTGTAGAATATCCGTGTCTCTAAATCTTTTTTACATTACACAGATTTTGTTTAAAAATAACTTAATAGACCTAACAATATAGGTATGTGCTACTCTCTTGCTCGGGCGTCCTAGTCATTTGTAATATGCAGTGCTGACTTGAAAGTAATTTCTTTTGGCTTTGATTTTTGCAATAATTTTAATAATTTTTATACTTTCAAGTACGAAACAGAGTTAAAACAAGCCTTGGAATAATCAACTGTGGCCCGATACAAAAAAACATATATAATTATTAATGCAATAAAATTAATACATATCTTTAATGATTGATAATCACAATTATTATTAGGAAAAGTCAACTCTTTTTTTATAGTAGCAATGGTGATAAGACATTTCCTAACATGATACCCATTTTTAATATAAAAAAAAATGCTATCACGACAATCATATGATATGAAAAACATGAAGTAACAAATGAACGATTAATTGATGAAGATAAATGAATGCAATGCAATCAAAGTGACTCAATTGGTATAAAGATAGAAGTTTCATGAGCAGTATTAAAGAATTTTAATGACTAATCGATGATAACATAAGGCAATATGTGGAGGATTTGGCCATCAAAGCTTGGCCTTGCAAGCATTTCATGCCATTCTCGAAATATTTCGTCCTTATGGCTATCTGAAGGCCTATGCAAACCAATAACACTATCAAGTTTCACTTCATTCTCACAAGTCTTTATCGAATCACTTTTATTAAAGGGAGAAGAAAGTTTTGGCTGAAAGTTTCCATTTAAACCTTCTACACATTCTATATGCAACCTTTCGAGATCTTCTTCGGTAACCTCTTGTGATTTGTTATTAGTTTTGTTCTCATTGTTGTCACAACACTCATCAGCGTCATCCCAGTCTATCGAATCAGGATCTAACGGTGGTAATTTGGCGAGTATTTCCTTCACTGTCAGATCCCGAGTTAACCTGAGATTATTCTCAGGAGGAATCTCAGAGTCCAATGTATCCTCATCAAGTGTGTCTGATTCTATATACTTGTGAGGAGAGTCTCGACGATTTTCTTCTAGTTTCGTACGTTTTTGTTGTAAATTAGTATCTCCGGTTCTTTTATTCAAGAAATTATTCTGATTTCCAGATAGATATTTGCAAACTTCTCCATCATTTTTCGTTCTTAGAATGTCTTCGATATTCGGTGGATTTACACTGTGACTAGGTAAAACATTAATATTTGAATTAGAACCTCGGGCTTGTAAGTCAGCCAGCAATTCCTGAGTGGTTTTTAATTTTGGATTTCTCGAAATACTAGCTAATTTTTCTTTAACGCTGTCCTCTATAGATATTTGCTTCTTGATAGATTTGCTACCTTTTTTGCGGCCACGTTTCTTCACAACGGTGCTTTCTGTATTTGAGGAAGGCTCGATAAGTTCTGGGTTTCTTTCTTTAAGGGTGGGGCTAGGCACTTGCGAGTTTGCATTACTACCACTCAAGGTCTCACCATTGAGACGCTGTCGTTTATTTGCAGGCTCAACTTCCAAAACAATTGGATTGTCTTTTCGTAATCGTTTGTTGGAACTGTGAGTTCGCGGTACAGCTTCTAGCAAATGATTCTGATTACTAGATTTCACGTCAACTTGAGTAGTACTGGAATTTAACCTGTGGTTGCTTGTTGCCGAAATCGGTGGCTTATTTGGAGATACAACAGGTGAATGTGATTGATCACTGTGTAATGATAATGATGGACTCGATACCTGAAAGCATAACACCTCTATTGCAGAAATCTATTATGAAATAATTGTATAAAATAAAATAAATTATAAATTTTTATAAAATACATACAAGCAATTACATTATTATAAATATATTTAGAAATGATATCTTAATTTGAAGTATTTAAAATTTTATACAATAGATAGCGCATATATCTTACATGAAGGATAGATATGTATCTTAATATTCAAAATTATTTCCATTGTTCAAAGATGATTACAATAATCTTGAATAAATATTTTTTTTTTGGAAAATTAAATCTTTGAATAATGATTTCATCACTAAAATTTTCTTAATTAAAAAATTGTATTTCCTATTTATAAAAATTATATTGTTAAATAAATACAAAAATTTTGAAATTTCATTATAAAATTGCCTTAAACAAACTACATGATATTGTAGTAAAGCATACAAAATCATGTAAATAATTATAATACATTTATTTAACACAATGCGTATATAAAATTATATTCCATTAATATTACAATTTTACTAAATAGAAAATGTTTAATGTACTAATGCAATTAGTAGATGGCTTATTATAAAATCTCATTATACATAATAAATTCAGAATCTATAACCGACTAAGCCATATTTGAATATTTTCTATTATGTTAATTTTAAGAACCAAAAATAGAAACTTACTTCTTAATATTATATAGTATAGCGCAAAGTATTTTATTATACATTCTGTCGAAGCTAATAAGAAGTTATACATGATAAAGTAATGAGTTATTTTATTAGTAATTGCATCCTATAAACTTTACCCATGTAATTTTGTAATTTATAGCGATACATTATTGGCTAATTGTAACGATACTATTTTTAAATAATTAACAGCAAATTAAATAAATGTAAAGAATAGTATATTAAGAAATAAGTATATTTTTATAATAATTACGTTTACCAAATTTTTTAGAGAATAAAAACAAAATTAATTCTTAAAATTTCAATATTTAAAAAGAAAATTATACTTTTTCTGTAGAATAAATTTCTCTTATTATAAAAGATATACTTATGAGAATTGTACATAGTTAGAAATGAAAATAATATTTCCTTTTTTTAGTTTTTTAGTGATTAGTTTAGGTTATTTTAATTTCACACTCGCGCGCACGCACGCCGACACATTAAAGCGCGCAAGTGCATATACACACACAAGCGCTTATCTAAACCATTTTTAATCGATATTTTATGATTTTTTTTACAAAACTCTTAAATTACGTATAATAATTTGTTTAATTTGAATTTATGTATACTTTGTTTGTATATTATAAGTTTTAAAAAAATATAGAAAGATCCATATAGTATCAAAATAATCAAACGCAATTTAAATTAAATTTTAATGATAAGCTGTAGAAATAATATAATGCTTGTGAATTTCATAATAAATATAATAATCTCAATTATACATATTTACTATTTATAATGAAAATTTTATTTTATGTTCACTAATTACAATAAACATATATATATATATATATATATATATATATATATATATATATATATACATGTACAAATATGTATGTATATACAATTATGAATGTATATTCAATTTTGTTTAATAACAGTCAAATATCACCTTTAATACTAGAATTTCTAAGAATTTTTATTTATAATTTGAATATAACATGTAAATATTATCAAGCGATTATAGACCAGAATGGAGTTATAATAGTTTTAATCTTTTATTTATACTTTTTCATAATAATTATTTGACTATATTTAACGATGCATGTATTATACTCGTTAGATATAATTAATCTTATATTTTTAAACACGCTAGAAACTTTCTTTTATGAAATTTTATTTTACACTTCTTTTCTATTTTAACTGTAAATCCTTCGATTACCTAACTACATTAATTATGTGAAACAGTATAAAACCAATAACTATATAAATTTATCCTGTACCTAATCATTCTACTATAAAATTCTACTATAAAACTATATTATAATATCTAAAATAAGCTTTTAATATTTAATCAAGAAATTGTTAAACTTCGATCCGTTATTTAAATAAAACTTTAACTACTCAATGTGTACGCTTTATATATTATGTTAATTTAATTTTTTATTATCTTTTAGAAATAGATTAAATATCACAACATTCCGTTTTTGCTTTCTTTAAATAATATTATGTTATTGATAGAATTTTATTACCATACAACCTGGTGGTACTACTATTCTGCAATTTCAAACCCAAAATGAAAATGATATAACATTAAATTTTTATAATTATTGCAATTCTAAAATTTTAATCACTTTTAATTATATTCTTATCAATTTAATAGGTAAATAATTTTAACTTCTTTACTTAAAAGCATTGAACATTTTTGTATATACTTATCAAGCTCTATTTAAATAATATTAAATTTATATTTCATATTAGATATTTTAGGTTACTTAATATTATTATGTACCAAAATTATCCAGCTTAATTATACGAATTTTTAAACGATTGATTAGTTAATATCTTGCAAAAATGATTGGATCCGCATTCTCCATTTTCATTTCTGATTTATAGATATAATAATACAAATACTATACCGAATAGTCTATCATTGAAACAATTAATCATATTGTAACAATAGAAAAAATATATAAAAATTCTTAAATATAATTTTTCAATTAATGACTCATGTAAATGCTTTTATTATGAAATCATATAATTAACAATAATATTTAATATAAATAAAGAATAAATAAAGAAAAACTTAATTAGAATTAAAAGTAGTGATTTTTTTTTAAGAAGGAAATGTTCAAAAAATTAATAATAGAAAATGATGTATTATGCACTAATTATTTTTAGATCAATAAAATTTATTTCAAATAAATATGATTGTACATTCAAAAGATTTGTTGAAATTACAATTATTTACATTTTGTATTTATTAATAAAGTAAAAAAAAAGATGTTTTAAGAATAAGTAAACGATAAAATAAAAAGTATCTTGTATTATATATAATATATATTTTAAAATTACATGTAATATTTTTAAATACTATAATAGAATATCAGACATTAAAAAGAAAATATTCTAAATAAGCATAATTATAATTTATTTTATTATATTTGTATAATAGTTTAATTAATTTTTAGTTATCAATAATATGTTAATAATAAGATTTAATAATTTGTGCATGTAATTTCTGCACGTGATTTTGATGATAAATTTTATAACTGTAATAAAAGTTGGAACTTTATACTAAAATAATGTCTATAAAATTATGATTCAATTAAAAAAAATTATTAATAAATACATATACAATTAATTTTAAACAATATAAATAGAATCAATGATGAATGTATAAAGATCAATTCAAATCTATCACTTCAATTAATATCACTTCAAATATAAATAAAAAATCCTATTTTCTCCAATAGTTAAAAAAACATTAAATTTCTTCTATATTCTATATATATATATATATATATATATATATATAAAAGATATTTAATATTTAATAGAGTTGAATTTAATATATATATATTTTTTTTTTTAACGTTATTCTTCTATATAAACTGAATATAACATTTATTATATTAAATTTACTTAAAAATGTACTTACTCTACTCAATGATGTAGTTTTTAATAATGGACTCTGAGGTTTCAATCCTCTAAAAGCTGGACTTTGAGGTTTAAGACTTCTTAAAGCTGGACTTTGAGCGTTGGCTCCATTGAGTGCTGGTGGTGCCGTATCTGCAACTGTGGGTTGTGGAGTAGAATGAGCAGACGGTAGAACCATTTCTCTCCATCGCCGCACCAAGTCTTTAGCCCTCTTTGCCAAAATATCATTGTTTGTCTTGCGTCGCAGTTCGTTAATATATTTTCCCAGCCTGGTAATCTGAAAACATAATGTACGTGATTAAATGCTGACAAATTTATATTAAATAATTCCAAGCTTTCATAAAGAATTAAATTATGCATATATTACCTCAAGCACCTCTTTGGTGATGGTCGTTTTCTCCAGGGCCGTGATGACATCCACAACAACTCCCATATCGACAACCTAAACGAAAGATTCACGTAAAAATGAAAAATAACAGAGCATGGCTATTGACTCTTAATTTTACATAAAAGTCTGAAGGGACAGATTGTGCAAAAAGTGTCAAGTCATGGGCAACATAAAATAAATATATACCATACTGAATAATTATTATCAATTTTTTTAAATATTGCTATATAAGGCTTGAAAAGTAACATGAATTGAAAAATGAATATGCATTAATAATGTCATAATATACACTATTAAAAATATTTTAAAGGCCAAATATATAGATTACAAACATTTTCATTGCATTTTTTTTCATTGCACAATAATATTCGATAATAGGAGAATTACAATTAAAGAGAAAAACTATTAAATTTTAAATAAAGTTTTGTAAATAGGGCATTGTTGAGAGGCTGCACGTATGCGTATAGAATTTATGTCCGCGAGCGCGTATAAGTTTATATTATATCTGCATCTACCTGTACGTGCACGCGTACACGCACGCACGCACGCACGCACGCATGCATACAGCCGCACACACACACGTATATATATATATATATATATATATATATATATATATATATATCTATATATAAATGGTGTGTATGCGCATGTGAATATGTATATAATCAAATGTATGTGTGCATGTGCAACAGTAAAGATGAGGAGTCATATACGTATATGCACATGGTCAAGTTAAGTATTTATATTCGCATTGTAAGCATGCACGCATGTATGCACATGGATGGATTATAAAAATGAAGTCAGGTAGATATATAGATAGGTAGATGATAGATTAATAGATAAGTAGATAGAGGACAGGTTGGAAAGTAGGTGATAGGTCATAGGTAGGTGGTAGGTAGTATGTAGGTAGAAAGGTAGGTAAGTAGGTAGATAGATAGGTAGGAAGGTAAGTAAGTAGGTAGGTAGGTAGTCAGGGTTAGATAGGTATGTATGCATGTAGGTATGTAGGTAGGTAGGTGGATAACTAGGTGGGTAGGTAGTTGGTTCAGTAAATATTTAGGTTGGTTGGTAGATAGGCAAGTCTGTTTATATATACATATATATATATATATATATATATATATATATATATATATATATAAAAATTATACATAGGCAGACAAGCGAATATGTATGCAGGCTGATAGGTATGTTGGTATACGTAGAGTTAGTTGGGTAGGCTGATAGGTGTACGTATTGTGCGCGAACGCGTATTGGATTTCCAAGGGGGCATTGCTCGGGTGGCCCGGACGCCTTTAAAGGGAGACGACAGACGGACCGTTCGGACCGTTCGGACCGTACGTAGTGGCGGTGTCGGCGGCGATGGAGGTGGCGGTGGCGGTGGCGGTGGCGGTGACGGTGGCGGTGATGGCAGCGGCAGCGGTGCGGCGGCCTCGAGGTCGGCCAGGCGGCCGCCCGCCGTCGTGCAGGAGCGACACGATGCGGGCGCGCCACGCACACACGACGCATCGGTCGGAGCGAGCTACGGATCTGAGATCGGACGGGGAGTTGGAAGAAGGGGGGCCGAGGGCGGTGGCGGGGCAGGGAGAGGGGTCGGCGCGGGGAGCGGGGGGTCGCGGTGTCGGGCGGACGAAGGCGCGCGCGCGCGAGAGTGGCACGATAGCCGTTTGCGGGAGCGGACCTGGCGGCGACGACGACGTCGAAGACGACGACGAGTACAACAACGGCGGCAACAACAGCAGCGGCGACGGCGGCAGCGGCGGCGGCGGCGGCGGCGGCAAGCGAGCCAGCGAGCGAACGAATGGACGGACGGACGGACGGACGAACGGACGAACGGACGGACGGACGGACGTACGAGCTAGCGACCGCGCCGCTACTTACATTGTATTCCTCGTCAAGGGATTGCAACAATCTTTCGGTGAGCTCGGTGCAGTGTCTCTGCATCGGGGGGGCACGCGCTGAGCCCTCGCGAAGGCTTTCGCTCGAGGTGAATCGGCTCCACGCGCACAGAGCTCGCGAAGGCGAAGACTGCACGGGAGAGCTGCAATGGCGACACTGAACCGTGCCTCCGTTCGCATGCCCTCCCTGCCTCCCGAGTGCCTCCTAGCAGCGGCTCGAGCATCGTCCCTAGCCCCACGCGCCGCAAGGCGAGCGCTACTAACGCCGCACCGCGGATGCGCCGCTGCCAGCGCTCGAGCCGACTCCGGCGCCACCTTCCGGACGTTCTTTAGCGCGCAGCCCGCACCCCGCCAAGAGTCCCTACGAGCCGAACCTCACCCGACAATCCCGTCGCACACGCAGGCGCGCACGGCTCCGTTGCGCATCTCCGTTTATTTCGTTCCCGATTGTCTGCCTAATCGCCTCCTAGGCCTATCTCGCTCGCTACTACAATCGCTATCAGCTACCTATCAGCCAATCCACCCACCCACCTATCCGACTACCCATTTACCTACCGACTCGACTACCACCCTACTTACCTACCTACCTACCTATCTACCTACCTACCTACCTACCTACCTACCTATCTACCTACCTACCTATCTACCTACCTACCTATCTACCTACCTACCTATCTACCTACCTACCTATCTACCTACCTACCTATCTACCTACCTACCTATCTACCTACCTACCTATCTACCTACCTACCTATCTACCTACCTACCTATCTACCTACCTACCTATCTACCTACCTACCTATCTACCTACCTACCTATCTACCTACCTACCTATCTACCTACCTACCTATCTACCTACCTACCTATCTACCTACCTACCTATCTACCTACCTACCTATCTACCTACCTACCTATCTACCTACCTACCTATCTACCTACCTACCTATCTACCTACCTACCTATCTACCTACCTACCTATCTACCTACCTACCTATCTACCTACCTACCTATCTACCTACCTACCTATCTACCTACCTACCTATCTACCTACCTACCTATCTACCTACCTACCTATCTACCTACCTACCTATCTACCTACCTACCTATCTACCTACCTACCTATCTACCTACCTACCTATCTACCTACCTACCTATCTACCTACCTACCTATCTACCTACCTACCTATCTACCTACCTACCTATCTACCTACCTACCTACCTACCTGCCTACCTACCTACCTACCTACCTACCAACCTACATGCCTATCTACCTACCTACCTACCAACCTACCAAATACCCACCCACCCATATTTATTTAACCCAATCGCTACCTAACGTCACCACGCAACTCCAATGCACGACGTAAGCACTTTGTTGACTCGCATAATCTCTGGCTCCTCGTAAATCCTCTCGAAAACGTCACGCTCCGTTATCCGAAATCTACCAACGATCCAAACACGCTTTTTCATCGATATTCTCGATCAATGCCTACAATATGCACATTTTCAATCTCTTCGTGAATTTTCCAATGCAATGCATTTATTACACATTCTTATTGACTATTTTTTTTAATTCCCCTGCCCATCGCAGTCCCGTCGCAATTATATCGCAAACATTTTTATCTTGATTTTTTTTTTAATTTATCCATTTACCTGGCTATTTACACTAATACTTAAAAACGTATTATTTTCTATTAATAGTATTTGTACGGTTGCCATTGCCGTTATTGTTGTTTTTGTTGCTATTGTTATTTTGTTGCTGCCGATTCTGTTCTTATATTATTTATTTAAATAGCATCTAGTTGTTCTTGCAATATTATTCTGTATATTATTTTTATACTTAATATATGTGAAATATAGCTTTTATGTAATTTTTACCTCTATTAAGTAAATATTATTAAACGTCAATTATTTAAACGTATGCTATTCAAATACTCCTTCTCCTCAATTGTGGTTTCCATTTCAAATTCAATTCTTTTTATTTATTTATTCTCAATAAGTATCATTTAAATATTTACTACTGCCCTTCGATGTAACCATATTTTACATATTTATAAATTGCCATTTCCGCTTATTTTACCTACACGCATATCTCTCTCTCTCTCTCTCTCTCTCTCTCTCTCTCTATATATATATATATATATATATATATATATATATGATGTATATACAGCCATACACACACAGTTTTATTTATTTATATATGAATGCGAGCGTTTGCGCGAGCGAGTGTGACTTAATATATATATATATATATATATATATATATATTGTATTAAATACTAGTTCGAGCAACAAACATCGATTTCATATTTACATATCTTAAATGAATAAACAATTATATCAGCATAGTCTAAAATTATGGTTAGATAAATTTATTTTCATTTTTCAAATCTTAACGCGGACTGTGGTGGCAAGATTCACTTTTATTATATAGAGGCTAATGCAGTCTGAAATGCATATATTTTTCTCAATTCACTACCCGTCATTTAAAAATCCTTCAATGTATAAAAGATTAATGAAATTAGCTACTTTATTAATATTATTTCTTTCAATACGAAAAATTGTCATCAAGTTTTTTCCGTACATCTATATCTATAAATATAGAAATGTAAATATCGTTAAGTAACAAATAAACTTGAAAATAGGGTATATTATATTAACTTTGCAATATTCGCAAGACTTGGATACTCGTTATAATAGAATTATAATTACAATATACTTAAAATTTCTTTAACAAAAAATAAAAACAGAGAAAGTAAAAGTAAGATTTCAATTTTATATTTGCTTAATTACTTTTGATATTTCCTCTGGCGAGATATTAATTTTTGGTATTACACGCGTTTTATTGCCTTAAGGGCATCTCTGTATTAAAGTTTTTATTTGCATACACATAAGTAGTGTATATCCCATTAACTTACATAATAGATTACGTGCTCTGTGAGAGGGCTTGAAGTAAATAGAGAGAAATACCAATAACTGGAGTCAATGTTTCTCTTTCTAATGAATAAAACTCGGTTGGGGAGAATTTCTATGCTGCGTGCATGTCATGTGATATATTGAAATTTATTACGTTGATTAAAAAAAAAAAAAAAAAAAAAAAAAAAAAAATTTTAAAAAAAAAAAAAAAAAAAAAAAAAAAAAAATATTCAGATAAAACAATAATTCGATAATTAGTCACAGTGCAATAGTAGTAATAAAAACATGAATATATTAATTAGAAGTTGATGCTTGATAGCAATATTGTTCAAAAATGATGTAAAAATTTCATTTTATAATGTCTTAATAATCTCTTTCAAAAGCGTCTTCCTCGCTTAGTGAAGTGTACGAAGAGGGCGGAATAACATTATATCGTCACTATATCTACGTTTTAATGAGAGAACCGTACTATTGGAAACCATAAAAATGTTCAAGAGTCGCTTTATATAGATATATATATATATATATATATATTGCGAGCGATATTTTTATGCGCGAGTGTGCGTGCGTACGCGTATGTTACGCATGCGTGTGCGTGCATTTACAGAGATTGATCATTATTAATTTGCAATTAATTGAACGGATGTAATTAGGATAATGTTAATAATACCAAAAATTATCTTGTTTATAACAAATAAAAGGGGAAAAAATATTTCATCGGACCTTCTCCAACCTTGTCTAATGACGCATGTGCAATGGCAATGTTATTTACAAAAGTGTCCAGATGACTTGGCAAGCATGTGTCTCGCCATATATTTTAATTAACAACTGTAATGTATAACTTCGCTAATTAACTCTCATTATAAATAAATAAATAAATATTTCTTCGATGAAATAGTCAAGTTTGTACGATAATACGTAAATAATGTATTAAACATACGTTATTAATAAAAAGAGACTTAAAAAAATAATAATCCTGTTGTATCTTTGCCTTGTGTATTGATATATTTCTATTGCAGGCATAAAAAATAGATTACGTCGTCCCATAAGTGAAAGCGCAACAGAAAAAAAATTCTGCCACGGTAATTGAGAGGACAATCGAAGTGGCAATCATTGCATAGGTTTTCAGTGTAATATAATAAAATCAAAAGAGCTATTTCCCAATCCTAACAAATCATTATACTTCAAATATTATGTATTTACATATTGGCATATGTCGTGATCGTACAAATCATAAACAATACAGTAATATAGTCTATTAAAATATAATATATATAAACTAAATTTAGAATATATATACACACACACGCGCACGCACAAGCAACACACACATCTATATATATATATATATATATATATATATATATATATATATAGAAATAATATTAAAGCAAACTAGAAGTCATTAGTGCCTTTTCGAGTATACGTATCCACCATTTTGGGTCGGCTCGCTTAAAACAGAAAATACCAAGTTTTGTGCTATAAAAAATCTGAATAAATGCTTTTCATATTTTTCGATAGTTTTCCAATAATTTTGAATAAAGTGACCAATCGGGAATGGTTTTTTTTTATTCCCTTAATTTTCAAATCAATTTTGTTAAAAATTTAAATAAATTATTGCATACATATTTTTTGCACGAAAAATACATTGAAACTACTGCAAACAAATATATTGTTTATAATTAATTTTATTATTATTATAACGGTACATCAAATATAAAGTTTCGTTTTACTTTCAATTTCAAATAATCTTGAACTATCTGCACGACTGTTATTTTTATTCCAGATGATCAAAAATGGCGGATGCACAGATTATCATAGATTAACGTATTTTTATAGAGTCGTCGAGAGTTTGTAAAATTCCCTATGATGACCCTACAAAGATTGCAAAGTTACTTGATCAATTAATTTTCAAATTTGCGCATATTTTTTCTAATCTTAGTTTTGATTTGCTATATTTTGTAACCAACCACACATTTTTCAATACATAAACAATGTTAACTAGATAATAATAAATATATCAATTGTTTAATTAGACTAAATTTTTTATCTCTCTTATACCGCTTGTATTTAAAAAAAAAATTAAACAAATATTAATGTTTAACATATCTTTAGTTAAAAATTCTGTAAAATGTTCTACTTTTTTTATATATGACGTATAAAAGTGCTAATATGAATAATTTACATCGCTACTATTATACTATTTATTCAAATAGCTAAATATTTTATTTGTTATAAACAAATGCATTTTACTACACCTACATTTGCGCATGCGTTACTAAATTAATTCTTTATTCAGAGAACAGGAACAAGAACAATAAATGACAAAAATGACAAAAATAAAAAATTTATTAAAAGCGACCAGATCATTGACCTAATATTACCCGCAAATTTTATCATTAAATCATAAATGAAAAATGAACGTTAAGTTCATAAAAAAGTTAACGAAATATACAATATTACATTTTCTTTGAACTTTTCCTTTTTTAAATAACAGAAAAAACGGAAAGTAAATATAAGTTAATTAAGAAATTTCTGAAACTTTACAATAAACTAGTACACTAGTACACTAGTATACTAAAAATATATAAAAAAGTAAGTAATAATAATTTATGAATAAATGTTCAAAATTTTAAGAATTAAATTTAAAAAATATGAGCCTAAGTGTGAGATAGATTTACACAAAGTTTTCTTTCATTATAATTAAATTAACTCCAATATCAGATATATATATATATATATATATATATATATATATATATATATATGTTTTTTTTTATATGCATACTATAAAAGTGTGCAGTTATACAGTTATATTTTAGTAATTTATTAATGCTACAAAACATTATAATTGTTTTAAAAGAATGATCATTATATAAAAAAAAAATTAAAATTAGAATATTCTCAATATATTTGTATATAACTAGAATTATTATGAATATTCAATTGTACAAGCTAAGTATAAATATTTGACGATGTTTTATTCTTATCCTTTAATTCGCATTTGCGCGGGCTATACATTCTACGATCATATGTTCGAATCGAGATTGCTTATATTAAATTTTCTATTCTAATTTCCAATATAATCTAATATCTATGCTTTAGTTGTCATTGGTTTATATTTCTGCGGCAATTGTGACATTCGGACAAAAAGGAAGAAACTAAATCTATTAGTCAAATGCTTATAAAAGGCTAGAAACTTTAGCCAATTCGTTTATGTATTATAAACTATATTAAGAAAATTAAATAAATATTAAAACATAATTTCCATAGAGAGAAAAATTTTTCAATAATGTTTAATCATTACTAAATCTTTTAATAATGTTTATCTCAATTTTTAGATTAATTTTTTTTAGCTAATAGGATTTTCTAACAAAAAAAATCTAAAAAAAACCTTATAGTAGTAAAATTATAATATTAATAAGTGAATATAATGATAATTATCATAATAATGAGAATATGAGACTAGGATTTCATTTTTTTAAATGTTATATATATATAATGAAATGGTATTGATTATTTATATAGTATAATAGATATAATAAAATTACAAGGATTCATGTAAAATATTTTTATAAAAATAATACAAGATAGTAAGTAAAACAAAGTCAGAGGTTAATTGTAGATCAAACATGTATTTAAATAGTTTATTTTTGATAAAATTATTGATTATACTAAAAATATCGTTTGAAACATTGCACGCGTCGTTATAGTTAAAAAAAAACGGTATTAAACAAAGAAACCTGCGATTAAATGAAAATATTGTAAATTACTTGAATAAAAAATCAATTCCTTCATAACTACAATATAACAAATTATAATTGATATTGGTTTATGGTTAATACATTTAATAATGATTATTAAAATTATATAAATTTGTAGATAAATAGTGAAATGGATTGAATATCACTTTTAATCACTTTCTAATTGCATAGATAAATAATTTTAATTTATTAGAATTTATAATTATTAAAGGCTTAATCCTATTCTTAATCCTATATAACAAGACATAAATAGTTTTTTGTATCATATATAATCATAATTATGCACGAGATACTATAACAACATATTTTATGTAAGCTCAATATTACTCTTTCGACTGTTTATAAACAAGTCATATATTTACTACAGAAAATGACTACGAAATGATGATAAGCCTCATAAGCGATATTTTTTTACCACGCGAATTCCCTCATCTGTTAGTAGAGAAAAAAAAGTTTATTGAAAGAAGACTTTTTCACAAGCTTACTGTACAAGCACAATATCGCTTTCAATGCACTCATAAGCGAAATTTTGTTTAGATTTAATAAAGTACAGATTCGAGTAATATGTTATATAATGAATATTGAAAATGAATAATTATTTATTAACATATACATCACAACAAATGATATACTATTGCAGTATTTATAGTATTTATTCATTATAAAAAAAATTTTCTCGCCGCAATGTTATCATTTATATTATAGATAAAGGATATTTTCCTTTTCTAGAAACTTATTTTTATTCTATAAATTCATGTTATTTTATTTTAAATTATCTAAATTTCACTGCCTTAAGTTGCAAAACTTTACTGTAACATAAATGATTGTAGTACATTTAGATTGGTTTTTTAAATCTTAAAGCCTAATACAATTTTTATCCGTTTCAACATGTTAAATAAATATAATCCTTTTTTTTTTTTTAATAAAAATCGTTCACTATATAGATCTATTTACTTTTATATTTTAATTTATCAACATAAAATGATATTATCTAAATTATGATTGCGAATCTTTAATAACAAACGTTAGCTTTATAAAAATGATTGATAATCCTCGATTTTTTAATATCTATTTATTCGTATATATAAACTTCTTAGGAACATTGAAAAAATGAGGATTATTAATAATTCTTATAAATCTAATGATACAATAAATAAATAAGAGATCATATTATATCAGAGATAAAAATATTGTATTAAAAATACATAAATTACAAAAATAATCTAAGCGATAAATTGAAATTTTATTTCATCATTTAATGTGAATTATTTGCCGCAGTAAAATCATATTATGTACAGAAGAGATTTTACTTGCATACGTTTAATCAATATGAACTAGAATATTATGGTGTCTTGATTAATACATAACCTAATAAGATTGATTATCATTAAATAACAATTTTAAATATTATTATATTTGATTGTGTTATTAAAAGATTATTGAATTACTGGTCTAATTAATTATACAAAATGTAATAAAACTTAAGTTTTTCTGTAAACTTTTAATTATTAATAAGTACTGTTCTAAACTTTCTATAAATATATTACTGATAATATATATTTTACGATTGCCTAACGAAAATTTTATGAACAGTAAAATGAAGTTTTTATAAATATTTTATATTATATTTTTGACAAAATGGACAGTACTGAAAACAAAAAATAAAAAACATCCCTACTAAATTATGAATTATTATAATTCAATGATATAAAATAATAAAACAAACTAAAATTTAAACAAATTCTACATATATGTAAAAATTAGAATATAAATTTAAGTTTACTATTCGTTGCATGATAAATAAAAATTATTAATTACAATCAGGCTTATAAAATTATTGTTTACAAAAATAACGAAACATATTAAGTAATATTTATTTTTATTTAATTTAAATTGAGATATAAATTGTAAATTACGCACATATTTTACAATTTACAAATATACATTTTGACCTTTGAATTAATTTGCTTTGTAATCTCAAGAATTGACTGCAATAAAGTGATGCAATAACCAAGTCTTTCTGATTATTAGTATTTTAAGTTTCATGATATAAGTCATTTTTATTCTGAATTCTTGTTATTTTATATTATACTTTTAATACATATGTACATTAACACAATAAGTTGATTAAACAATACAAATCTGAGCTTATTACTATTAATTTCGTATTTTAGAATATATATATGTACATAATTTATGTTGTTAATTTACACTTCATGCTTATTTTTTAAATTACCTATAAATAGATAATACGATAATACAATAAATGTATTATCGTATGTGATTAAAAAATAGGTTGTCTATAAAAATACAAGTTTAAGTTACATGAAATAATTAATTATATAAAATAGTGTAAAATTTAAATATTTTTAAAAGCTTTTAAAAAAAAACATGCAAAAGAAATTGCAATTAAAAAAGAATTTAGAAAGACCTATCATAATATAATTATTCATTCCTTTTACAAAAACCAACATGATGAAATATAATTCGTTACAAATAATTTCCTTTTTAATATCGACACTTTCATTTTAAATTAATTATGCAATATATTCAATCAGTGGCTACTTTAATTCTATTATAAATAATATTAAGTAGGCACTATATCCTCAAATCGAATATATTATTAATGAATATATTATTCATTATTTGATTTAAGAAATTTACATAGCTAAATTAAGTCTGTAAATTATATACTGAAACTTTCACCACATCCGCATGTTCCTTTGATATTTGGATTATTAAATACAAATTCTGAATTAAGTTTTGTTTCAATATAATCCATTTCTGTTCCTAGTAATGAAAGCTGAGCTTTTTTATCAATTATCACACAAACACCATCCTGAATTACTTGTTCATCAAGTTTATTTTTTTCAGTAGCAAAATCCAACGTATAACTTAGACCATTGCAGCCCCTTTGTCTAACGCCAACTTTAAGGCCAATCTTTAATGTAATAAAATTCTATATAATTATTATCAACATAAAATGTTTAAAAAAATTAGATTACTTACGTATTCTGGTTTGTCCTTCAATATGTCTTTGATCTTTTTCACGGCATTCACTGTCTAAAAACATAATGTATTAAAGCTTAGCATCGACGATTTAATGAAAAAAAAAAGACAATATTTTTGATAATTCGTTTAAAAAAAATTTTTTTATTATCATTCATAATAACGATTACAAAATAATTGTCAATAGAGAATTTTTAAAGTAGAGGTTATGAGCAAAATTCACAAATTTCATTTGAATAAACCATTATAATATGTTAAAATAAAACATTTTTTACATTCCCATTTTTATTTATTTTTTTTTTTATATAATATAAAACAAACATACTAAAACCAGGGCTGCACGAGGTGGTAAAATTCTTCTTCCTTTTACTGCACGAACTGTTGCACTTGCTGCAATGCCAGAGGCCATTTTTAAAGATTCAAATAAATTTACTTTCACGTACTTAATCTAAAGCTTGCGCATCAATGATCTAATGCTTCAATGAAATAATCAAATAAATGAACGCGCGCAATCTAGTTATAAAAACAATTTTAAAAATTTATATCCGATTTGACTGTAAAAATTAATAATTTGAAACGCTGTGAGGGTAGATTAGGGTTTTAATGTAATAAAACTCGACAAATGCAAGCATTAAAACTTTTTATACTATTTTTTTGTTCGATTTTTTAAAATGACAAACTATAATTGAACATGTATGCATGCATCAATGTGTTTACTTGCACTCGGTATATATGCATATCTACATATGCAAATAAGTGTGTATGTGTATATATATATATATATATATATATACGGATGGATCCATGGATAAATACATACGCATGCATATTTATACTTTTTTTAGTCATATTTCCGGATTACAACTTTTAAACTGTACCTGTTTCAAGTTTTGTATTATTATTTAAATACCCATTAAAGGTGCATACTATGTAACATAAGTTCTGACAGTAACTATAATGCTAAATTAATTATTCTTGAATAAATATAAAGTTTAATTAGTACTGTTACATTTTATTTATGTACTACTTATTTTTATTTCTTTCTTTTATTTGGAATAATTCTATTCTTGCTAAAATCAAAAAATAATTTATAATAAAATTTTTATACTTCCTAAACATAAATCAATGTATAAAAATAATTTCTTTTAAAAAATTCAGTAAAAGAAAATCAAATGTAAATGTTTTTATGAAATTATTTTTAGCCATAATATTGTTTATGAATTGTAAAGTATCCGATTATTAAAGCTATTTTATTTAATGTTTTAGTTTCTATGATTTCAACAACTTGCATCGACCAGTACCGCGGACATTATACATATAAAAAACAAAAAAAAACTTAACATTACGATACTGTTAGTCATAAATATAACAATTGCCAATTTGTAATTATGAGTCAGAACAAAAAATATATTACACAAATAAAAAAACAATATAATTATGTTTCTCAAACCAGTCATTCGCAAAGCAATGTTTTTAATTTGTTTATACTAGATAAGTTTGGAAAGAACAGAAAGGAAGATTTAATTCATTTTGGTTATTGTTTATTAACTTTATTAAATTAAAAAAATCATAACTATCACTTTCGTAAGTCAATAAGAAATTGTCATTTTTTTTTATATTATTACAGAAGCAATATTGTTAAATTAACATTTTGTAAACAGTGATTGTCTTTTCACTGTTCAGTTGTAACATTTTGTTGCTTCCAAACCTATCATTTTATAAGTATAATAATTATTATATACTTTTAGTTGATCTTACATTTACAATCAGTTAATATAATCAACATTATTTAGTTTTCAAAAGCATTTTCAAAATTTTTTGATCTGATAAATGCATTTGAACATAGTAATCCTATATGATGGCATTTGTTTAATTTTTTTTTACTTTCCACAAGGTACATTTTTCAAGATATTTTAATTAAAGAGATTTCAAGCATTTGGTGTATATTAATAGATGTTACGCTAGAATGGTAATGCTAAATCTTGTACTAACTATTTGTAAGAAAGTACTATTTTATAGCCAATGTACAATATGTAAGAAGTGAATATATATAAGGTCAAATGTTTTTTCAAATTTTAGCAAAATCTAATATCGTCCATACAACCCTCGAATTTCTCGACTGAAATTATATCAGCCTTATTATCAAAATGTTAACTACTTTTTTTTAATCAATATTATTTTCATTAACAATGCAACGTTAACGACGAAAAACAAAAATTTACTTATATAAAAGATACCAAGACACATTAATTTTATAAAAATATTCATAATTTAAAGCTGTTATAAATTTCGTAAAGTTGAAAAACTAGAAGAAAAATACATTTTATCATTAAACATTATTTATATGATGCATGGTATAGAAAATACTAAAAAGAAATACCATTTACATATATGACCGCATAACCTTACATAAGTACATAGCTGCATAATCTACAATGCAGCTTTTATGCACTTGTTTTAGCATATATTTTACCATACCGTTAAAGAAATGTAGACAGAGTCTATGAGAACGCAAGACGTATATATATGTACATATATACAATTACATTATAGTCACACATCATTTGAACACAAGAACAAGTGTGCTGTATTACACCAAAGCTGACACATACACAACATCATTCATAAAATGTACCTATATGATCTTGCATTCTCATTGCGTTTACCAAATTTCAAGTATTCTTCACGAACATTATTCCCAATTAATATCGCCCCTCTATACAACAGTAACTTCTTGTAGTCAAATGCAAAACAAATCTCTAATAAAGCAAATAGAAAATTTGTTTCTATAACACTGATAACACGATTCCTTTCTCAACTGAATATCTGCACTTCAAATAATAGATTTATTTTTTCTCTTATTAATGAAACTGTTACTTGCCAATTGATGTACGATATAGCAAAGGAGTGAAACACTCGGATCGGCAATAACAATGAAATCGCTCCGTCTTGTAAAACATATTATAAATACGTCGTCAATTTACACGAAAGTTACTCAATCATCAAGATTTTGTGAAAGCAGAAAATTAGCGGCAAGATTTTCATTCTTTTCACATACAAAATATGCTTGAATAACTAGATCTTCAGGAAATCCAAGTGATTTTAGTCTTTCGATGGCTTCTTTATCTTGTGGAGTAAATTGTAAAATTCCGGGACCTCCGCCAGCACCAGTTCCCACACCACTGCTGAGCCCTTGAGTCGCAGCAGTTGTTGCTGCAGCAGATGTTGAAACAGGAATAGTACCACCTCCACTTGCTCCAACTATAATTTCAAAAATACGTTTTAAACGTAATAAAAAATGTAAAATTTTTATATTTATTAAAAATAGTAACAGTAGTCAGTTCTGTATTCAAATTAATGTTAAAATATAATTATACAGTGTATCGTTTATTAAAAATCAATGCTTTAAATGTAAATTCACATTTTATAAGCTATTATTAGATAAATAATAAATAAACAATTAATCATTACGACATACTAAATAAAAATATGAACTACTGGTATAGTTTTTCCATAGCTCTTTTATACAAATTTATGACTTAAGTTATTTTAATAACATTTTATATGAAGTTACAATGATCGAGTGTAAGTGTTATAAGCTAAATCAAGTATTAATTATCTGCCTAAACTTTTTAATGATTGAAATAAATTTTTAATTCAAATAAATTGGTTCATATAATGTTACATGAAATTTAAAGATTATAAAATGTTATTGAATTGTTTTTTGCATAAGCATTCCGACATATTTTATATTAAACATTTTTAAATCAAACAATATAAAAAATATATTAACCAGGTTCGTTGAGCATTTGTACAAAAGCTTCTTGATTTTGAGATATAATTTGCAGTAACACAGGATTCGTTTGTCCGAGTTGTTGGAGAACAGGATTAAGTAATTGAGGATTTTGTTGGATGACTTGTCTCATTTGTAAAAATTGTGGCTGTGTGCGTAAAAATGCTAAGGGATCTTGACCTGGTTCTTGAAGCGAGTCTTGTGAGTCGGATGCTTCCTCGGGAGGATCTTCAAAAAGTTGAGCAGGTATTCCTGTCAATAAATATTCTACTGCTCTATCTGGATTATTAAAGCTGGCTCTTAATGCTTGTTCAACTTGTTCCCGTTCATACCTTTGTACAAGAATAAAAATTTAATTTTCAAATATAAACCAAGTAAATTAAAGTGCTATTTTAAAACTCTATTATATACCCCATATCCATAATGTTGTTAACCATTGTACTATATTCTTCACCCATTAATAAAGCACTTTCTGGTGGGTTAGTACTTCTACCAGTTGTTACCGATTGTGCTTCTTGAGTATTTTCAGATGGCCTAGTTGGTAAAGTAGTTTGAACCGGTGGCGTTGAAGTAGATTGTTGTGTGCTACTGAAATAATAAAAAATAAGAATATTTTACTTAAAAGAAAATTCATCGTTTATTATGGAAATAATAATTACCTGGCTGTAACTGTTGGCGATGCTGTTGTCGTTTGATCTTTATCTTTGTTCTCTTCTGTATCGGTATGTACCTCGTCACTGGTGCTTGATCCCCCTATGTTTTTTGGTTTAGAGACCATTACGACGATAAACTTTTTTTCATCGATATTGTAATCGGTTAACGGTTGCTCGTCGACCAATATTTTTCCTTTAAAATAACGATAAGAACTGGTATATAAATCAAGATTTTGAGTATAAATGTAAAATTCCTAACCTAATTCCTAGTATTGATCAAATTTGAGCTTTGATAGTATTTAAAGTGTAACATTTTGAATAAACATAATGAAAATGGTAAAAGTGAGATTAAATAACGAATAGTGATTAAAGAAAGAAAAATGTCGGTATGTTGCAAGTTTGCAAATGGTTGATGAAAATTCAATATTTCATTGATTATAATCAAGCGGCAATGTCAATTTGAGGTTACATAAAATGAACTGTTTTCTTACCGGCATAAATTAATTTTTGATGTTCTGCGGAATATCCTTTAGATAATTCAATTTTATCTTTAAGATCCTTAACCTATGAGACCAAAAGAAAACGTGGAGATAAGTCTATCGAAGTTTGTTGGTGGTAAGCAAACCGGTAGTGACTTTAACTCACCGTTTTTGTCGGTTCAATTTCAACGGTGAACGTTTGTTGTTGGAGATTTTTTAATGTTACGATCATTTTTGCTTGATACGTAAGTGATCAAATATCCGTCTTGCAAAAAATGAAAAATTGCGTTGGTGTATGCACCTGGCTGCACGTAGACTTGATCCCAATTCTCAACAGTCCGATGGCCCTCGATCGTTCTTTTTCACTCAGCGGCCGCCGGGCCTCTGTTGCGGATGTTGTATATTGAATTTCAGTTAATCTGGTTTATATGGTAGTCGCACAATGCACTCGCTCAATGAGTCGGCATTAAGAATAAAATAGCCCGTGATCTTATTATTTCTCCTCCTCGTCAATTCACGAGTCACGACTTACAAATTGTCCAAGGCTGCCCCTTAGTCCCGTGGCGGCTTACCGCCGCCAGTTTCTGTGCAGCTATGCGCTTCTAGTTGGTACGACAGCATAAAGAGTTAAGTTCACTTGTAAGTTTTTATTACGTTGGTACTTTTGAATTGTCCCGAAACACGCATGTCATCCTCTGACTTCAAGACTCGGCTGCACACATTAACTGTAGTGAGCGCATCTTCGGCAAATTTCCAAATTGAAGATCAAGTCAAGAGTAAATATATATATATATATATATATATATATATAGAGAGAGAGAGAGAGAGAGAGAGAGAGTAAAAAAAAAATTTACACTCTTTTTTTTTTTGAATTTGCATATTAGACTAAATTTGGTGTTAAACAATGAGTACAAAATTTATTTATCTTCACATTACGAGAATTTCTCTCAGTGATATCCAGTAGTACTACTAATGCGTATGCTGCCTTTATTATCCATAATCCGTACTTGTTATTCCTTGATCATAATGTATTTTTTCATCAACTTTATTAGAAATGTTAAAGTTTTAAATATACACTACTGTTATATTTAAATTATGACTAAACGCTTATTTGCTTTACTGTTTTTTCATTTTCATTAAATCTTACAATGATATTTGTATAAACGACAGTTAATAATTATTAATAAGTATTGATTTTTTATGATTGATTAAAATGACTGATTGAAAACCAATGGTGTAAAATAAATTCATGAAATGTCAATATTATGAAATATAATGTAAATGAAATATAATATAGAAAATTAAAATAATTATTTTTATATAAATGCAACCGGAAGTTATGTTTCATATTATATTCTAAACTCAGATTTACAAAGAATGACGTATGTTTGTTTACCTAATAGAAAATAAAGAATGGTAGAACTGTAGAGCTAGAAAAATAATTTATACAAATCAGCTGTCAACTAAATCTGTACATGGGTGTGCGTGTTTTCTCTGTGCATATATGAATATATATATATACATTTTCGTATTGTATATATTGGCACAACTAAATTATAATTAATTTACGACAAAACTTTATATAATTATTACTTATGTTTTTAAAGTAATGCTCGAGATATTAAGACAAGATCATGGACGATTTATTTTTAAAACTAAAATCAGAAAATAATGAAGAATTAATTCAAGCCTTAGAAACGTTTGTAAATAATGTAAGCTCCCTTATTTCAATATTTTCTTATACATATAATAAATGAGATTTTACCTTAAGTTTAAGTTTTATTTTGGTATTTCTAGTATACTAGTACAACAAAATTTGATTTTTTGGATAAAGATAATTTAAGGACTCAAATTTGGGAAATTATATTTGTACATTTAATAAATAAAAGACAACCATCTATTCATGAAAAATGTTTAGCTGGACTTCGAATTTTAAGGTATTAAAAATCTCTGTGTATTTAATATGGTTATCCATATTTAATTAATATAAAAAAAAATTTTTAGTCGTGATAAGACAAACTTGGATAATATATTAACGAAGGAAAAATTGAATGTAATATTAGAATATGCTGGTCTTAACATGAAACAGAAACAATATGCAATTGTACCAGGTAAATAAAATAATACTTCAATTATTTGGAGCATACCTTTACTTACATGAAAATTAAAAGGATTTCACTTTATTACAGCTACAAATGAAGCACAGAAATTATTGTGTAATCTCTTATTTAATAGTACAAAAGTACAAAATATTATTATGGAAACTATTTGTTTACAGTGTGTTATAGATCGTATTAGTAAATATGATAAAACTGTGCAGCATGATACTAAACTTTTTGATGTGAGAATAATATTTTTGATTACTACTTTAAATATTTCAACAAGAAACATTGTTAGCGAAGAGTTACATGGAGATATTCAGTTAATACAAATGTTAGAAAGCATTTTAAATTATTATTCAATAAGCAATCGAGAGATAAAGGTATATAACGCCTTATTTAAAAACTTGTCAAAGATACTACATTAAATTCTAAATTTAATTTCTTTTTTTTTTTAAGGATAATGATATGTTATTAATTTGTGAAATTTTGAAAACACTGTTTAATTTATTTATACAATCAAAAGATCCATCTATAGATGGATTAGAAACTTGTAAAAAAATGGTGCTCATTTTAAGAAAATTACTTTTAAATAATAATGAAAAATATAAAGATAATTTAGAAAGGTAATAATAATTAGAATATAATACATTATGTGTTTAAGTATTTTAATATAACTAATTTTTAGTCATATTGTTAATTTATTAATTGTAATTCCTACTAACTGTTATTTGAATTTGATCATACGTACGTCAAATGATGATATTATTCTATATCAAGACATGGATATGACGGTTATCAATATATTGATAAAATTTTTAAATAACAAATTAAATTCGAAAACGAATTTAATTGAAAATTTGTCACCGATAATAACTTGTTTTATTAAAGTTTGTAAAGGTGAAAGATTAATTCGCAAGTATGTACGAATGCAGGTATTGTTTTTTTGATTTACTAAACTTTACATTATGATATGTACCACTATGTTTTTAATGGATATTTTGATATTTTTTAATATTTTTCTGCAATTAATTATTAAATAAATTATGTTATAACTATATGGTTACATTATTATAAATTATTAAATAATATTTTATCGAGGTTCTTCCACCACTGAAAGATTTTATGAAAAGACCCGAAGAAGGATCGACATTAAGAAACAAGCTTTGTAAATTACTTACCATTCCCATAACAGAAGTACGGGATCTTGCAGCAGAATTTTTATTCGTTCTTTGTAAAGAAAAGGGTATGTACAAAATAATTTTTTTTTTATTAATTAAGGACATAAGGTGTAATCTTCGTTCTTATTTTTCAAGTTGGTCGAATGATTAAGTATACAGGATATG